GGGGGTTGGGCTGGGTGACCCACAGAGGTCCCTGCCAACCCCTGCCATTCTGTAATTCTGTGATTCTGTAATCTCTGCTTGGCACTGCTGCACCCAGCCCTCGCCAGGCCGTACGTACCTTGCAGCCCTCGCAGGCGTGCACGCCGTAGTGAAACCCCGAGGCTTTGTCTCCACAGACCCTGCACTCCACGTTCAGCGCTCCCAAGGCCGCCTCCTCGCAGCCCATCTGCAGTTGGTCCGACAGGGAGGGAGAGGAGCTCTGCGAAAGGTCTGCGAACACACAGAGCGATACATCCTTTCGTGCAGCAGCCGCCAGCCCAGCGTCACACCGAAATTCTCCAGCCATGGGGCTGACGAGGGATTTCCAGCACTGTCCCAGTCTGCCACTGGCATTGCATCTGGGCACAGCCTCCGAGATCAGGCACTGGCTGCAGGCAGACGCCATGCACAGAGCCGAGGGTGCGCCCAGCAGCTGAGAGACTCCACACCAGTGCTGATTTCCTCCCTCTGGCATTCATGTCTAGGCAATGAAAGCCAACCAGCAAATTTTATAATCCCCAGCTGGCAGGCGGCTGGCACAGGGCTGCCCAGCTGGAACGCCCGGGGCTCTGCAGGGGCCCCCTCAGCAGCACCCATCCTCCTCCCCCAGCTCCTACGATCAGTTTGCGCTGAGGACTTCAAGAAGTGGCCAGGGGAGCATCCTCAGGCACCCTGGGAGTCTCCTCGCTCCGGGGCACAACGTTACCTGCCTGTCCTTCTAATTTCCACCTCCCAACCCATGGCCAACGGCTGTGTGATGACTGCAGAGGAAGAAATCAACCTCTCCAAAACTTGGCTCTTGATACATTATTTCACAACGGCAGGAGATGAAAACAAGTCAAGCTCGCTTCACGCGCAGGTCCTCTCCGCTGTGGCTCAGCGCACTGCCCGGAGGACGCGGACACTCCAGGGCCAGATGACCTCGCGCGGCTCCACTCACCTGTGTAGCTGCTCGAAGGCAGCGAGCTGTCTGGTCCTCCACTTGGGTCCGAGGCTCCGCTTGCCACCATCACTGCCTCTTCCTCCTCCTCTTCCTTGACCTCAGGTACTTCCTCCTGTAGTTGTTCCATAATTGATCACCCCTCAGTGCCAAGACTGCGGTCCCTGTCATAGCTCTGGCATCATCCGCGTCTGTCCGAGATGGACCTTACCAGGCTGTTCCTGCTAGCCTGCGGGACAGAGGGAGAAACGCGCGGCGTCAGCTCCGAACGCAGAGCGTCTCAGCAGCAGGGCGGCGCGTAACCACGCTAGCCCTGCCCTGCTTTCTCCCTTATCCAGGGCAACAAGCAGAACCCAAGGATTTTTAAAGGTCGCTTCGCGCTCAATAGGACTCAAGGAAGCAAAACCTCACCGGAATCGTATTTAAAGCCCAGCAGAGAGAGCCCAGACCACAAACCAGCTCAGCTGCCACCCAGGGACCTGGGCTCCCCAGCCTGCAACTCCCATAACAGAAACACTGCCCCAAACAACGTCCCCAGAGCTGCTAACACCCTGGGACATCCCGGTGGCAGCCAACCCGGGGTGTGACAGAGCCAACACTACCAGGAAGCTTCAGGCAGCGCCGGCGTCACCCTCCATCCCCAGTCACCCAAGGCAGAGCTCGGGGCGCAGCAGCTCCATGCCCACGGGGGGGAGATGCGGGGGGGGCCGGGGTCCGTGCGGC